CGCGCGCATTAAAAAAATGGCGGCTTTTTCTTTACGGCTGGACCTCGCCATAGAGGTAAATCGTCATTTTCTCGCAAACGAGTATGGTGATCTATCATTATTTTTTTTTTCTGTTGTCTGGAATTGAGTAATAAATTTCTCTGTGTAAATAAATATGGACCAATTCTCAGTGTAGAACAAAAAGCAATCGTCGGAAACGCGAATTTAGCAAGCAATCGTAACTACAACCATGGTGCTTTTATAAGGATTTATATGGGTATAAACAAGGTACTTTTGCTCCCAAACGAACACGGAGACCCCTCATTTTTATTTCAAAATTTAAGTTCCTATAATATAAACAATCGATAGGCAAAGTTTCAATAAAATCTCAGTGCAGGTTCTATTTCAGCGGAATGACCTTAAGTTTACTGTCCATCTCTGGACTCTGCCTGAGCGGACGTTTTATCCTTCAGTTGGTGAAATCCTTCAAGATATTCACAAATATGTGAAAACATTTCAACCATTTTTTCAGACTGCTAACAGTGGGCAAATGTTTCGTGGCTACTTTCGTTTCATCAGATCATGTGTTAATTTTATGAAGAATGCGCGCGCCCAGTGGGTTGTTCAATATGAATCTGAAAAACGACTCAAATATATCTATTTTTTTATGTAAATGCTGCGAATAGTATTTGCCACCTGGGCGACTGACACGGTCTTCAAAAATAACTGGCAAATATAGACGATCCATGCGCAGAGAAAAGACTTTCTTCCTCTTGTTTTTTCCATTTTGAACGTTGTATCAAAATTGAATAAACGTTGATTGTTTTTGGCGTTGCTTAGTTTAAATCATTTGGGAGCGCGCGCGTGGTGTGCGCGAACGTTTATGTATCGTGATGATTTTTACGGGAAACTTTTTTATGCGTCTAGTGAAGAAAGCCGTAATGTCGAAGCGCCCTTTCGTAAAAGCCCTTTATCCTAGTTATACCTTTAGCACTAAAATACATGAAAGTAAATTACAATATTTAGAGAGGAAGCCACGTCAGTCTTAGCTGGTTTTCACGCGGGTCCTGGCTGAATTGGAATTTAGAGATGTTGGTTTTTGTGGAGGGAAGAAAACCAGAGAACCTGGAGAAAAACCCTCGGAGCAAGGCGAGAACCAACAACAAACTCGACCCACATATGGTACGGGGTCGGGATCGATTCCAGACCACATTGGTGGGAGACAAGCGCTCTCACCACTGCACCATCCTTGGTCACCAAATGCTTTGTCCATCTTACATCTATTTATTTGCCAGAAGTACGGACGATTTTAATTTCGGACAAAAGAAAGTGACCGAAAATAAAACCGTCCGAGAATTTCTTAAAAGCATCCGAAATATTTCCAGTACAGTATAAACTTTTTATGGACTTTCGCCCGCTTTGTGTTGCTTGCCGTCAGTGAAGAAGCGAAAAATTTACTTCCATTTTTTTTCGTTCAATGTACAATAAATTATTAGATTTGGTTTTTGTGATATCCAGAATAATCAAGATCTCGGTAAGGGTTATCAGCCTAGCCTTAGGCTTCGGCTTATAACGCCTACCTCAACCTTGATTTTTCTGGATTCGCAAAAACCTCATCCAATAATTGCTTATTACCGTACGCAAATTCACAATTAGTCAATCAGAAGCCGTGTGTACTGCCCTGATACCTTGCAATATCAAGTCACCGACTTAATATGGCTATCATATCATGATCACTTGGCCGAATTTGGTTACAGAAAATACCCAAGCGTACCTTCTTTGCTACGTTTCGGCGGCATATCAGGCCCCTTTTGTGGGATTTCCATCAAGGTAAGGCTACAAAATGCTAAAAATCTATATAAATGCAGATCATTTCAAGGCAGGCTAATGAAATTAATTGGTCCTAGGCACCACTTAATGCTTGCTCAATTATTTTTGAATGAAACATGATAAATTACATGGAAAATTCTGACCAAGTTAGCTGTTAGTAGATGCTTGAATGATAGGAACGTTCAAATCAATTATCCCTGAATATCAGGGTAAGGAGGGTCCATGTTTATCACTTCTATGAAACTAACCGTTAGCTTCAGATTGCAATTTCGTTGTTGTTATTTACTTTGATCTCCTAGGTCCACCAACGAAATGTTCCTCCGATAAGCCGACTTGCAAGGCTAAAGAAGGAAAATGTTTCGATGGGGTCTGCCGCTGTGTTGGAATGTACGCTGGCGACGGACTTATATGCAGGAGTAAGAAATACGAAAGATTGCGGAATAGGCCATACTTGTATTCTCGGCATTGCACTGGAACTAGCTTACAATAGAGGCTCACGCTGGGGAATATCATTAAATTAGAGATTAATGTCATTTGCGTTTGACAAGACTTCCCGCAAAAGCCTCACTTGCAAGCTAGTTCCAGTCCAATACCGAGAGTACGAAAATGGTTTGTTGCTAGTGTGAACGAAAATAAACCATTTTTTTTTTTTTTTTTTGCTGTTAAAATATTGTCCCCGTACGCAAGGTTTACGTCTCCTATTCTATCACTACCAAGATTACTAGACCTTGGAATCGACTTAGTATTTATTTTTACGATTTTATTTCTCCATTTCCTTGATATTTTTAGTTTCGATTGAAAAGATATATTAAACATTCAAGACAGTGTTTGACCAGATTTCCAAACACCTCGAAGTTCGTTAAAAATACTCCACTGCGCGTCGTATTTTCAACTCTGTTGTCGGCGTTTGGAAATGCAGTGCTCCAACACGGTCTATCTTGTTTGATATATTAATTTTCTACCATGTTTTACCGACCGTTATTAAACCTAGAAATCTATTGATCACATACACAAGTTGATTCAGAACCTACATAGTATATGTCGTTTTATTAATCATTTTTTGCGTTCAAGGCATTATATTGACAGCGTTCTTAACCAACCGTACGAAACTCATAAAGCTAAGAAATATATCTTTTTCTTTAGAAGCATCACGTTGTTCTAAAGACTACAAATGCGGTGCCGGTATATGCATGATCGATCCTTGGTATCCTAAAAATCCATTTTGTGCATGTTATCCAGGCATGAAGAAAACTAAGAATGGAAGGTGCAAAGGTAAGGCCTTTTTTTTTTTTTTTCTTCAACTAATTTTGGTTTGGATATCTTTTATTTTCACATTCTCTTCTCTTTCTTTGTAAAGGCGGTAAAACACGTTCTCTCGTGTTTGAAATATTACCTGACTATGCTTTTCTTATTTTTTATATAACTGAGAAAATTAATTCATTGTGATTGGCTGAGCATGAGAGCAGGCCAATTTATCAGTAATTATTAATTTGCACTACAGTGCAAATTAACGTGCGCGCTTTCGCGGTTTTCCCAGTCATATAATAATAAATGATGAATCGTATGAAGTCTCGAGCAGTTAAGTCATCTTCACAGACACCTCGAAAACGCAAAGCGGCCGTCATCTCGTTCACAACCGCACACTGCTACGCTACTCACTATCTACAACAGAATAGATAATGAGTAGCGTAGACAATCACTCGTGATAGAACACTAATATATTTATATTAATTAATATTTAGGCCTCGTCCACATTACGCCGGAGAAATTTGAAAACGTAGCTTCATTATTTCTACGGTTAGGTCTACCGTCCACACGAATCCGTCACGAAAAATGAGCTTTTTGAAAACGTTCTTCAAACCGGAGAAATTTGAAAACATTTTGAATTAAAACGGAGCTTTTCGAAAATGATGACATCACGATCATGACGTAATTTCTCTGTTCGAGTTTTCCTCAAGGACAAATCCAAAATGGCCGCTCATTATTACGTTTTCAAATTTCTCCGGCGTAATGTGGACAAGACCTAAGATACCAGGAGTGATCAGCGTTCACAATATGTATCTCTAATGAGTTTCTTCTTGTTATCGTTAGTTTAAACACGTGTCGAATTGTACCTCAGCCACATGAACGTTATTGGGCTGGAACATACACCCTCTCACACCTTATTTGTCATACGTAAAAAAAATGGTCAAGTTGAGGAACCCAACCTTGTGTTTGTGGCATTTGTTCTGCTTACTTACCCAGAGTGCTTCACACATGCGGACTGCATTTATGGTACATGCACTAAGAAAGGGTTATGCAAGTGTGAACCAGGACGGGTAAAGAAAGGCAGGACTTGCAAAGGTGGTAAGAACATATTTTTTACAGAAAATACAGTAAAATCATAATGTCGGGGGTTGCTTACCGTTTACACGGAGAAACTGGTTCCTCAGTGGCTGTGCAAATGGTAAACAAAATACCTCATGCTAAGTTCTGACTTTCGGTTCGGCCATTTACCATTTACTCAAAAAAAGGACCAATTTACCGAAAAAGCACGAGTTCGATCGCATCATAATTCCAAGATGGCGGTGAAGAATTGCAAACTGGTAAACACATTTTCCACTAGGATATTCTGGGGTGGAATTTTTGGACCTACCATTCAAAATGTTCCGGCTTTTTCGAAAAATTTTCCGGCTGGTCGAATCAAACTTGTCCAACCATTTACATTCTGACCAAAATTTCCGGAATTTTCTGGTAAATGGTAACCAATAACGGTCTCATTTTATTAGGGAAGCTTTCCATTCAACCAAAAAACTCCATAACTTTCCAAACGAGGGCAAATGGTAAGGAAATTTCCTCGCAAAGTTGACGGAAAATCAAAACAAATGACCTCCAAAAAGAGAAATAAATTGGAACGGAAATTTCCCCTGACAAATTTTCAATAATTTCATTGAAGCGCGTTGTCGTACTGTTATCTGGAAACTGCTCCTTTCAACACTGATATTTCAGGAGCACACAGGAATCTATGGACCAATTACAATGGAATTCGAAAGTACCTAAGTTTCCGTTAACTTAATTTCTTCAGGAAGAGTTATAAGCCTGATAAATTCTGTTAGATATAATTTTTCTGTCTTGTTATTCAACTTCAGTGTCATAACTGATTGATTGATTCCATTAATGATGGTAAAGTAAGTAAGTAAGTGACTTTATTTAAGTGTCGAGATAAAATAGCAATGACAAAACCACTAAATGGGAACACCGAGAAAATACGATGCGTAACGGAGTATTTTTGACGATCTTCGAGATGTGTGGAAATGTGGTCAAACCATGTCTTGATTGTTCGATATGTCTTCTCAATCGAAACTAAATGAGATCAGATATCCAAACACCGTCACGGTCATGATTTCCTTTGTTTAAACTTGATGGATTTATATTAATGAGTTTGTGAAATTCATTTTTAAGCGCATCCGTGTAAGAAGAATGAAGACTGTCATCAAAAAGCTGAATGTCACCGAGGAAAGTGTCACTGTTTAGGAAAAACTGTAGGCAATGGAAAGCATTGCGAAGGTAATATTGTGAAACGACATATTGTAAAGAGCACTGTTTAATTCGGTTTACCCTCTTCCAGGGGCTCAGTTAGCTGGGGCGCAGCGCGAAAAACAGTTAATTATTTGGGTTTTTTTTTTCAGCCTTTCAAGGGTCCGGAATCCTGAAGCCTTGAATCTGATTGGCTAATCGTGTACGTTCCACTGGTCCAGATTTTTCCATCCAGTGCCCGAGTGCGGACCGCTCCGAAATTTCCAACTTAGCCAAGTTTTTAAGCTTTTTGTTAAGCCGAAAAGCAACGTAAAATGCAAACAATCAACACAGATTCAAAAAAATTCCGCAAACAGTATCGCTTTTTGTTTCCGAAATGTCAAACGCACGCTTATGCTAGATTAGAAATGAACGGCTTTAATTTAAATTGAACTCAAAAGTTGCTTTCAAAGTGGTACCGTAGAAAAAAAATAAACACTTTATTCGCCGGCCTTTGTCAGTCCGTATTGGGAATATCTCTGCCCTCGGTCTTGACTGACAGTCCGAGTCCGCAGACTGAAGGTCGTACTCAAGACCGAGGGCACATGTTTTCCCGATATGGACCGATAAAGGCCGGCAAATAACATATATATTATCTATCTATCCATCCATCCATCCATCCATCCATCCATCCATCTATCCATCCATCNTATCAACAGAAGGTATGACTTGGCATTTTATTACTAACTAGTTTCATACCGCACGAGAAGTGCGGCACTCTTCAGATCAAATGCCAAGTCATACCTTCTGCTGATATCATCACCTGGATTTTATTAACGCTCTGGTTCTATTATTGAGCACTCTATCAGCAGACGTGCAAACCGACTGGTATATCTACATGATGTATGTATATATATGAAGAGCAAGGCTGGGGAGAGGATTTTGAGCAACTGATTGCCTCATTTCCCTGGGATCACCACCCTATTCCCGGTTAGATGGCGATTCACAGTGTTATCAAAATCCTCTCCCCAGCCTTACTCTTCATAAATTTCCACATGGGGATTGGGCCACGCGTCGCCGATCGACCGGGGGATAGTGAGGTGATCCTGATTGCAGAAAAATGTTATGTACATCTCCTCGGACCTAACCACATGAAGGTCAATTATCAGCTGCGTTGCCAGCGTGGTCGGTTCAGTGGCCGAGTGGTTTAGGCATCCGACCGACAATCCGGAGACCCAGGTTCAATTCCTGGCTGAACCACATTTTTCACTCATTCCTTTAGTTGTGTAATTTCTGTTCCTTCTTAACTTTATATATAGATATAGATATAGACAGAGACCTAGACATAGATATAGATATATATATATTTGCAGAGTTGGATTATTTGGTCGAAGACATTTATTGCTACTCATAGTTTTATGCTCCTTGCTAAGCAATCATCAGGCAACTGCCAAAATTAACGGATACATAAGAAGATATACAAAATTTGAATTTATATCTTTTTTTAACATGTTACAGATTCGCTGCCATGTCCGAAGGAGTATGTGGAAAAGTGTAAAGCAGGCGGCAGCAATGTGATATCGTGTGTTGTAGATCCTTTGATTCCTGACCAACCTGAATGCAAATGTCATTTGGATTTTAAGACGTCTGAAGCTGGTATTTGTGTAGGTATATTGCTACAATTTTACTTTGAATGAAGTATAAGTGTTCATTTACTAATTGATGAGGTTGAATTGTCTTGAAATGCTTGCTTGAAGGGCCATTGTAGCTATCTATCGAGAAATTTTTTGTTTGTTTGTTTGTTTGTTGTTGTTTTTTTTCTCTTTTTTCTTGCCATTGGCTTTGACAATTATTTGCCAGAACTCAATGAAATTACGATGACTACGACATTGTTTCTTTTTTTCCCTACCAAAATGACACATGCTTTCAAATCTAGTATTCGTAGTTGTACTTTTATGAGAAGGGAAAGGTCTCTAATATTAAGATACCAACAATATTAATGAAAAGAGGACAACAACATTATGGCAAGATATTCGCAAGAGGACGGTCAGATACCCATTGTAAGATAACAGAGACCTATCTAATTAGGGATTTGAAACCCACGCTCAATGATAATGTTACCTGCAGAAACCTTTATCTTTATGGTTTACATGTTTTTAATGTGCAATTTTTTTTAGCTTCTGTCACTTTGTTAATTGTGTCCTCAAATATTTATTAGTTACTTCTCTTGCATTTAAATTCATTTGTTACTTCTATTCTAAACAGTCACTTTTGAGCATGGATGTTGAAACACACGAAACGTCACGTAAAAAGATAGAATTTTTGTTTTCAACTATGCGTTTTATTATAATATTTATCACTGCAGTTCGCGTGTTATTTCTTGTTAAATGTCTTGCCTATAATGCCTATCCACTCTCTTTAACAGTCTTTCTTGGAAGTGCAGTGACAAAGACATTTTATACTTACGTCCACGTTTACTTTTCCCTTGGCTTCTCAGAAATTACGGAATGTGAGAAGAATGGTCTTGTGTGCCCCCCTGAAATGGTTTGTAAAACCGAAAATGGCAAGCATCGGTGCGCCTGTAAGGATGGCTATGAAGAGATCCTTCTAGGAGCCGGAAACAGCACGTGTCGAGGTAGCAAAACTATGAGCAGATAATTTAGAATCAGATTCAAAGCCAGAATCAATTTGAATAATTTGGAATGACAGTGAATAATTTAGTATCCAAGTGATAAATTTAGTATCAAAGTAAATAATTTAGAATCAAATTGAATAATTTAGTACAAAGCTGAATAATTTAGTTTCAAAGTGAATAATTTAGTATCAAAGTGAATAATTTAGTATTAAAGTAAATAGTTTAGTAACAAAGTGAATAATTTAATGTCAAATTAAAGCAAATCTCTTGATTAAAGTGAATAATTTAGTATCAAAGTGAATAATTTAGTATTAAAGTAACTGAATAGTTTAGTAACAAAGTGAATAATTTAATGTCAAATTAAAGCAAATCTCTTGATTAAAGTGAATAATTTAGTATCAAAGTGAATAATTTATTTTAAAATTGAACGATTTAGTATCAAAGTGAATAATCTAGTATCAAAGTGAATAAACTAGTATCCAAGTAAATAATTTAGTATCAAAGCAAATAATTTACTTTCAAAGTGAATAATTTAGCATCAAAGTGAGTGATTTAGTATCAAAGTGAATTTTTTCTTCAGTATCTTTCAAACGCAATCTAGACTTGAAATCATCGCTTTCCAGACGTTGAAATCCAATCTATGACTTTTCAAGCATTCAAATCTAATCTGTGTTCACCATCACGTCCTGAAATTGGATATTTCAACGACCCTGAGGGGGGGGGGGGGCTTCAAACTCAGTGCCAAAAGAAATCATTCGTTTGCGGACAAGGGATGTTTGACGAGTTCATTTATTAAAAATGAATAGTTTTGTTGTGAAGTTATACTGATTGACACCGATTTCATCTTAACAAAATAGAAGCCGAAGCAAACGGACTTTCAGTATCTATCATCAATACTTGCAGATATAGATGAATGCAGTCAGGACGCCTGTTCGGGCATGACCAATTCCGTCTGTGCAAACGCAGAGGGAAGCTACGAGTGTAAATGCAAAAAAGGCTTTCGAAAGAGCGATGACGAAAGTACCTGTGAAGGTATGAAAAAGAACTCCAACAGAACTTTTCGTTACAGATTAAACGTTGCTTTGAAGGGATTAAGACATGAAACGTAAATTCCGAATTCAACCCGTATAAAGTGCGGGGCCAGTAGGTTAGAGTTCAGGGATTGGATTAAAAACATCCTGCATAGATATGAGGCACTAATAAAGTCGCCAAACGTCTGCTACGGGCCTGCCCAGTTGCAATTGTCGCTGTTAAAGTCTTCAAAGAGCTAGGAACTCCATTTCGGGAGAAAAGTTAAGATCTTCACTAACATACTGGATGATACTTTCAGCGATAAAAATCAATTTTTGTTACGTAAAAATTATTTGACCATGCTCACCGGTGGAAAGTCTGCTGGGTTTGTGAATGCGCACTCGCACAATAGGTCACGTGGCTCTAAAGTTTTGCTTATGCACAAGTCATTTCAAACCGAACCACAAGTGAAATCCCCGCCAAACCTCCGCTCAGTCCCCGCATTGTATAGCGAATCCGTGAAAAAAAGTGCATTCCCCTACTACCGGGGAACCTAAATTGAGTGAAAACAAGGTGAAAGCCCTCGGTTTGCCCCAAATATTCCCCAATCGGGGGGAGGGGGGGGAGGCGGGGGATTCAAATGACTGGTTCATTACTAATATATTCTTACATCGCAGCTGGCGCAAATCAAATTTGCCAAGAAGGAGTATGTTCATGTTCCCTCGGATTTGCCAAAAACAATGACGAGGAATGCGAAGGTAAGATCCTGCATTTGTGGTTGTACAGTAATTTATATAACTGCAGTGTGAAAGATTTTTGGTGATTCCTTCCTCACTTTCGGAAAGAGCGTTTGCCTTTGACTAAGAGTATAAGTAACATCTGTTTCGGGTTTTGAATCTTCTTCCCTAGCGGAGTGGGTGGTAGGCCACCGTGGGTGGGAGTGGAATGTGTAAGGTTTGGCCACATCAGTTTTCTTCATAAAATTGAAATGATATCGCAAGAAATTTCCTTCATCCTTGCAAAAATTGGTTTTACCTGATCAGTGTTAATGAATAAATAAACCTCCTTTTGTCGCGAAAATGTGCATGGAATTTTTCATTGGGTATCTCAATCTCACGATTTCCTTGCTAAACTAAGAAACTAGCAGATGACGTCGGCAAAAATGGAAATTTAGAGGCAAGATGATAAGTTAGGATATCAACACCGCTTCCTCCCTCGAGTGTAGATCTGAAGTTACTTAGTAATTTTGAGGAGATAAGCCGATTTTCAAGTCGAGATTTTCGTTTCAGATGTGGACGAGTGTTCTCAACATGAAACTCCATGCGGTGCTAATGAAGAATGTTTAAACGAACAAGGGACGTATTCTTGTGTGTGCCTATCAGGATATAAGAAACAACACAAAGTTTGCGTGAGGAAAGGTGAGCGTTCAATTAAATTATCAACAATAGACCATTTTACAATTGTCTGTTCAGTGACCTGGCCTTTGAATAGCAGCGAGGCTGCAGATGACCCTGTTTTGATAAAGACCTCACTGCTTTTGTTGTGTAAACCAAGTTTTTCTTATGCTAACTAGATGCCATTTAAATGAGAAAATCAGAGAGGTCTGTATCACAACAAGGTCATCTCCGGCCTCGCTTGCGTTCAAAGGCCAGGTGACTAAACACACAACTCTAAAATGACCTATTTGCACCGAGGAACCAATACACCGGTCGCCTTCCATTGCCAATATTGTTAACCTAATAGGTTGGTTAATTACATTACTTGTACATTTTTTTTCCTCTTTCACCTAAAGCATATCTGACAATAATCATTTACTGAAGAAGCCACAATGACTTATTTCGCCCAATTTATGGGTTTTTATTGAAGTCGTCCATAATTCAATTCCAAGAAATTTCGCTGAAATCAGCTTAATACCAAGCAAATAGCAACACGGAACACTTTATTTTCATGGTGTATTGCCAACTGTAATTTGAGCAGGGTTCTTGCCGCCTGAAGTACCCTAGACGCAAATCAGGAAAGCGACGTGCATCAAAGACAATGAACAATTATTGGACGAGGTTGAGCAAAATATCGGAATATTTCAGTGGCGAGCAGATCAATTATTTGCGGAAGCTGAAAGCTGAGGCAGACATCGTGATCTGCGAGACTCGCCCGAGAATTCTTCTCATTTCTAAAGGGGATAATTGAACCATGCGCTAAATCAAGTAATCCACATTACCTTTTTTAACTCGTTCCTTAGACAAATGTAACTGCAAACAGCACGAAGTATGCCTCCAGGGAAAATGTAAGTGCAAGGAAGGATACAAGAAGAGTACAAAAGGATACTGTGTTCCTCGTCGAAGTAAGTACTGCGTGGCATATGGCATATGC